TGAGACCACAGATGATGAAAACTTCGTACGGGGCCTCTGCTGTGGCTGTGCTCTGTACAGCCCCAGCACATGCCTCTCACCTTGGAGACACCGCACAAGCCCGCATGATAATTATTATACCATTTTTTTTTCAGCAGACAGCAGGCTGGAGAAAAGGGCACCTTTTTCCTGATTTGTACAAAGCGACCACTTGAGATAGCTGAGGAGCATGTAATACATGGCCCCTGGACTTATGAACACCCTGAGCTCAGTTTGAAGGGATGAGTGAGTTAGCCTGGTAAAACAAGAAAGAGTTGCAAGTGATATTTCAGGTGGGGGTGGGGAGGAAGCATGACACAAAGCATGGAGGTGTGGATCAGCAGGCAGGGGTGGGCAGCCGGAGGAGCAGCCCAGCACCACTTGAGAGAAGTGAGGCAGGGGACAGTGGGAGGTGAACATGGATGGGCACCGGGTCCTATGCCTGGTGACATATAGAAAATGCTCAATAAATGTTTGTTTAATGGATGAAGGGATGGATGGATGGACGGGTGAGAAGTTCGGAAAGGATTACTTGTGTGTTCTGCTCATCTTTGCACCCCACTTTCCATGTCCATAAAATGAGAGAAGTGGACCACATAGACTTAAAGATTTCTTCCTGTGTGACAAACTAGGATCCGCCTTCAGAGTTTCTCCTTTCACCTGCACCTTTAGAACCACACATGAACAGTGCCCTGATTTCAAAGCTGAAACCCACTCTAGGTTCTTTGGGAGAACGGGATCAAATGAGAGATCAAATCAGTTTGCACTGCGGGTACCACTTACATTGCACCACGTGTGGCGTGATGCTATGGCAATTCGAAATGCTCTCACGCTTATGCCTCAGGCTGCTTTGGTCATGTACTGTGTATGGAAAGGGGATTAGAGGTTTTAACTGCACCATCTGCCAGGATGGGGAGCAGAGAACTGGTTTTGAGCAGCCAGGGTTGCATGATTTAGAAGGCAAGACAGGCAGGGTCTTCAGAGCCAGGACTGCTTGTTGCAATAGAACTTGTTTGCATCTCCTGCCCTGTATAGATCTCCATTCTTGCTGGGAGCAGGACTTGGCGGTGCCTGGTGGTCGTGGTGGGGCGGGGGCGGGGGGAACTAAGGAGAGAAATCTCTTTCTGGGCATGTGAAAGAAGGAGGCCTGGGACTTGGGTGGCACATCCCCTGCTATGGACTAGCTTTGCAGTTTCCCTACAGCTGTCCTGGGGCCCTGGAACGGTGGGTGGTGTCTGGGCCCATTTAACGAAAAGCTGTTCCCCCTGGTACATGTTCCAGAGGAGCTGAGGACCAGAGAGAAGAGGCCTTTGTTGTGGGATTTTGGTGAATACTGATTCAGGGGGTTCTATAGCCTGGAGGTACCTGTCCCCCTTCTGAGCACCTCGCTTTGGTAACTCTGTGAGGTCTGCAGCCTGGGGATACTATCTCCCTCCCGGGCACCTCAGAGGCACCTTCTCTTTAGCTTTTGCTCAGCCCTAACTGCCGCAACTGCTGGGACTTGCCCCTGCCTTGTCCTCTTGTTCTCAAATCAGTGCTGGGCTGGACACATCAGAACCACCAGAAGCACTTAAAAAAATATAGATTCACTTCTTGCTGTTGAGTCCTTTCTTGCAAAGTTATAGATTAATGCGTCTGGAGCCAGGAATCTATTTTTCAACAACTACCTGGGCTAAAATGGTATTAAGAATTATTATTCATTTCCTTGAATGTGAAAATGATATTTTGGATATATAAGAAAATGCCTTTTAGTAGATGCAGGCAGAAGATTCAGAGGTGATGTGCCATGTTACAACTTGTTTACCACTAGTAAAATATGTGTGTGTGTGTGTGTGTGTGTGTGTGTGTGTGTGTGTGTGTGTGTGTAAAATAAATAGAGTGGAATAGTAGATGCAGGCAGAAGATTCAGAGGTGATGTGCCATGTTACAACTTGTTTACCACTAGTAAAATGTGTGTGTGTGTGTGTGTGTGTGTGTGTGTGTGTGTGTGTGTAAAATAAATAGAGTGGAATGTTAATACTTGTTGAATTTAGGTGGTGGGCATATTGGTTCATTGTACTATTATTTCACCTTTTCCTCTTGTTTAAACATTTTCACAGTTAAAAGTCTGAAAAATAAACTCTGCAGATGATTCTGATGTTCCTCTTGGCTTAGATGCTACTGCCGTGGACTTCACTGAGCTCCAAGGGGTCAGGGTGCGTCTGTCTTCTGACAGTCCTATGTCATAAGTCTAGCAGACGGTGAATAAACTCTTGTCAATCTGGGCTTCCTTCTCCCAGCTTCTCTTGATTTGGGAGATGCTTAGCAAATCATTTCTGATTCACTCATGAGCCTTGTCTCTTTCTCCTGCCAAAATCCCTCTCTAGCCACCCCCGCCTTGGCAAGGTCCCTTGATGGAACACTGAGGCTCTGACGACCAGCACCTCTGCTGAGATGCCCCTGCATGTGTGGAGCCTGGCTGGCTGCCTGTGGGAGGGGGCCTGAAGCTCTCCTCCAGGGCCCCACCTGGCTCCTCTCCACCCACAGAGGGAGAGCAGGCAGCTGTCATTGCCTCAGGTCATTGCCTCCTGGGCAAACCAGAGCGGAGCTACACTCAGCCGGAATTGGCTAAAGAGAAAGCTCGCCCAGAAGGACAGGGCACTAACTGCTCTTCACTGCCCAGGCCCAATTAGCCCAGACTAATTAGCCGGCCAGTGGGGTTCAGAGGAGGTGGGGGCTGGCGGACTGGAACTGCTGCCAGCCTGCGTCAGAGACTGCAGGCTCCCTGGGGAGAGCAGGGCTAAGGGAGAGTCAGCTCCAGACAAGCTGTCTCTGCTCTGCCAGCCGTGTAGTCACTGTCGAGGGGCAGGCACAGACACCCTGCAGACTGGTAGCAGTTTGGACCACAGCACAGCTGCAGCATTTAAATGCGGAGGAGAGAGGGTGGCAGGAGCAGCTGATTCAGGCGTGCGTAACCCATCAGCTCTCTGGGCCTCAGAAGCGCCTTCTTTTCCGTCTATAGCAGACAGTGGGGATGGCTTGTTCACCTCCGGGGGAAATGAAGAAGCTGGGTGAGGAGGCCCAGGAAAGTTCTAGAGTCACTTCCGGAGTTCTGGAATCTTCCAGAAATGCTCCCCAACTCCTCTCTCCTCGACTGGGACAAGACACCACAAGTTGTCACAGATCTAGGGTCACTGGGGGTGGGTTAGAAGAAGGCAGAAACTGGTGGAAAGGAGCTGGTGTTTCCTGAGGGCTCCAGTGTATTAAATCATCCCCAGTAATTACTCCAAAGTGCCTTCCCCCACCCCACCCACCACTCTCAGGCCATAAAATTCTCCCTAGGTCCCTTAGAGCTGTTGAGATGAAGTCACGGCCATCTCAGTTCAGTTTATCAGTTGCTGCGAGCCCGGAGCAACTCTTCCAACTCCCCCCAGCAGGCAGGCGGCCCAGCCCACCCGAGTCCACCAGCACCAGGACTTACGATCCCAGCACTTCCATGAAGATGAAGGTTTTCCGGATGTTGGTGGTCTGCTTCTTCCAGGAACTGCAGTCATCTTCTTCTTTTCGACCCATCGCCTCCAGAGTTGAAGCTTCTGGGGATGCTTTGTTGGACGGAGCGAGGGGAAAAAAGGTCTGATCAGCCG